GGGTTAATCCTCCAGGGTGTGGAGTCTCCGTTCCCTGCTTACTCAGCAGGCACTTCCAATCCTGCTCCATTTGCCCCAGGAGACAGCCCAGGAATTTGGGTCTCCAGGGTCCTGCCCTTGTCAGCCCCCTTCCCAGGGTCGCCTCTTTCCTGCCTGTCCTGTGTCCCCAGTCCTCCCACCCCTCAGACAGCCCACCTTGGGCAGAGGGCAACCACCAGACTCCAGATCCTTCCCTGGTGCTTCCAGGCCCTATGAGCCTCCCAGGATTCTCCTGGGCTCCTGGATCAGTGGGCCAAGGCCACTACCCCACCCCTCAGGCCTCCTCAGTTCCCCAGACAGCCGGCCAGGCCAGTTGAAGGACTGCTATGCAGGGGGTGGGGACCCCACCTGCTTGCTGTCCAGCGGGCACTCTTGGTTCCGCAGTCCTCAGGTCGGGGCTTGGGCGCCAGCTCAGTCCACATGTGGCCTGGTGCGAGCAGAGGCCTCGGCAGGCCTCCTGGCCCTGCCTCTCCTTTCCTGTGTGACCTCGGGCAGCCACAGCCTCTCAGATCACGTCTGGTGAAGGCACAGAGTCAGCTCCCGCCCTCTCAGGAGCAGCTGCTGCAGCTGGGTTTTCTTCTTGTCACCTTGTCCAAGCCCCAGGAGTCCAAGGAGGGGGCAGTTATCAATTTCCCACCTGACCCTCTCACCTGACGGAGGGAGAGCCCATGTGAGGGCCATTGTGCCCCATGAGCCCTGGGTACCCCGCTCAGCAGCCTGCACTAGGCACGAGTGTGGGGTGTCCAGTGACTTGTCCTCTGCACCTGCCTCCCCAGCGCTCCCAGCTCAGGTTCCCCCCAGTTCTGCCCGCAGATACCTGCATAGAAAGCCCTCCCAGGCCCCACAGCCCAGCGCCCCTCCCCAGGGTGGCAAAAATCCTCCAAATGGCCCACGCTCACTCCATGCTGTGACCTAGGGACAGGCAGTAAAGAAATCGAGATGCAGGCTCTGCCTCCAAGAACGATGGGGCCCAGAGAGAGTCGCCCAGTGAGTCCTGCCAGCATGGCTGAGAGGTAAAGGAAAAAGATGGGGCTGAGACCCAGGCTGAATGTTGAGGTGGAAGATGGGGATGTGTGAGGTGCAGGGGGAAGCAGAGGGCGCTTTCCCATGAGGAGCTGACCTCAGACCTTTGAGGCTAGCCTACCCTGACATCCTGAACCCCATCTTTGCTACCAGCCCCACCCTTGCTCCTTGGGCTCCCAGACTCCCCCAGACCCCTCATCAATATTGTCCTCCAGCCCCCCTTCCCTGGGGCTGAGGAAACTCCACTCCAAGCACTTTTTGGCTTCTAAGTCTCCCAGTCTCAGGCTGCTGGGTGGTTGGTAAACAGCTTATTAAGGTGATTAACACTGCAATTAAAGCTGGAAAACAGAGGCCAGGGTGCTGGCTGCAGGTTTCCTCTCCTCCTCCCCCTGTTTTCCCCTTCCTCTCCCCTCCCCTCCTCTTCCATCCCCTCCGGGCTTGGTTGATGCAACTCAGCCTGACTTCCCAACCAGGGCCCTCACCTAGGGGACGGGAGGCTGTGTCCAGAGCCTGTCTGCCTTGCCCAGAACCCCTTCCCCACAGGGGTGCAGGTTCCGCTGGCCTGGGAAGGAGGTGGCAGTGAGATGGGTGATGCTGAAGCAGATGGTGTGTGGGGTGACAAGGCACTTGCTTTCCCCAAACTCATGGCATCAGAGCAGGCGCCCAGCACCCAGGGGGTGGGAACTGGCAGACCTTGGCCCTTCTCTGCATCTACATCAGGGGATTATTGAGGAACCTTCTTCGTCCCTGGCTCTAGCAGCTCTCCAGGATCTGTGCAGCTGTCCTCAGGTTCTCCCCTGATTCTTGCTCCTCTCCACCCCCTGGAGTCACAGAGCAGGCGCTCAGGGGGTGTGGCTGACTTAGTCCTTTCCAGAGCACATCTCACAATGGCCAGATCAGGTGCTGCGGTGGGACAGCCGGGGCCTGACTGAAGAGGGGTGCGCAGCAAGGTGCAGAGGACATCCCATCTCCCTGTCACCATTGTCAGCAGTGGCTCTGGTTAACTGAACAGTACCAACGGGGTACCTTGTTAAGCATTTTACCCACATTATCCCATTTAATCCTCTCAACAACCTGCTAGCTAGGTAGCATTATTCCTGTGTTACAGATGAGGAAACCCAGACTTAGAAAGGTTGAATGACTTGCCCCAGATCACACAGTCAGTGTGGTGGTGGAGGCAAGATGCAGCCCTGGCCTGGTCAGCTGACTCCAGCACGCACATTCCTGATCAGGCATTAAGCCTTTCCTGGGACCAGCCTTGGGGAAGGAGCCCAGCCCCCCCAAACCCCCCAGTCAGGAGGAGGGCACCGGCTGGGGTGGGCGGAGCTGCCTAGGCTCAGGCTCTCTGACACTCTGCCCCAGGCACCTTAGTAAACTGAGCAACAACAACAACAAAAAAAAAAAAACATTTAGAGCACCCATTTCCCAGACAGTCCTGAGTTCATCCCAGCATTGCCACATGTGGGCTATGTGACCATGGCCGAGACTGAACCTCTCAGCCTCAGCTTCCTCATCTGAGGAATGGGCTGGCTCCCTCACACCCACCTCCCAGTTGCTGTGAGGCCCATATGCCAAGTGCCTGGCACAGAGTAGCAGTTTAGCAAATGCCAGCTGTTCCTAAGGTTTGAAGAACAGTGACCCTCAGGGCAGGCTGGGGTTCCCTAGCCCCCCCTTCTTCCTCAAAGGCTGTCACGAGGCAAAGGGTGTAGTCAAGAAGCACCTGGCCCAACATAGGCTCAGCAGCCCCACCCTGGCGCTCTGCCAGGTCCCCCACACCAGCCCCGATCCTTGTGCCCCCACCCCCCACTCCAGGGCTGCTACCGAACGACCTGACTGGCCTGGAGGTGAGGAAAGGAGGAAGGGGAGGTCAGGGGTGGGGCTGACCCCCGAGGGAGGTCACCCGGGCAGTTAATCCAGCCTGACAGAGCAGGGATGAGCAGGGAGGAATTAGGGAGCTTACAACATCCTTTCATCCTGGAGCAGCCCGCCCGCCAGCCCGCCCTCCTTCCTTCCTCTCTCTTTCTGCCCTTTTTTTCCCTCTCCCTCCCTTTGCTGGCAGCCCAGCCCTAATAAAATGCAGTGTCTCCAGCAAGTCTGCCCGGCTGCCGCCTCGCTGCTCCTGCCTGCACGCAGCCCTCAAACCAAACTGCTCAGCTCAGCCCCGCCTGGCAGCTGCCACTTAACTCTTGCCAGCCCGGCTGGCGTCGGTCCTGGGCCTAAGTCCCTCCTCCCTTGGTGAGAGGGCGGGGATGAGGGGGGAGGAGAAAGCCTGTCGTCTGTCAGGAGGGGGAGGGCTGATGGCAGCTGGGGGTCTCCACCTTCTCCTGGGCCCTGCCCCGCTGCCTGACAAAATCCTTCTGGAGTGTGACACCCCTCCTCCTGTCTTCTCCTCATTCTGCTTGGTGCCTCGGAGACTAAGAGGGTGGGTCTAGTCCCCATTTGACAGATGAGGAAACTGAGGGCCTGACAGGGAGGTTCCTGGCTGAGCTGGGTCACCTCAGCTGCTGGGTGTGTTGCTGATTCTCCATCCAAGACTTTTTCCATTGCAAGGAGCTGCCTTTCTGCCTGTGTGTGTGCACACTCGTGTGTGTGTGTGTGTGTACACTGTGTGTGCATGCACACTTGAATCGTGTCTGTGCCCCAGTATATTGGGGCCTCTTCTCCGTGCTGGCACTTCTGTACCACGCTTTGTCATTTGCGTGATGCTGACATGTCTCAGGCGGGGGTGGGTCCCTATGTCTGTGCTTGCGACAAACTCGCAGCCAGAAGCCGTCCACACAGGGGGGCAAGGAGGCGGGATGGCACCTTGCCTGGTACACGTGTGCCGGAGAGAGGTGGCTTCAGGAGCATGTGCGCCTTCACCCGGCTCCCACCTGTGTCCACAGGTACTGCTCACTCCCACCTCCGTCCATTCTGCCACCTCCAGCTCTCTGTCCCCAAAGCCTCGGAGCTGGGCATTTAGCAGAGGAAGGGCAGCCACAGCCACGCTGGCCCAAGCAAGAAGGCTGTGAGTCAGGGCCGAGCCTTCCCAGGAAGGTGAGCAGAGAACAAACGCCCCCCCCACCCCGCTCGCCTCATTGTCCAGCTTGGAGCCCAGGCCTGGGGCCCCTGCCAGCGGTGGGAGCAGTGTCCCCCCCACCGGAGGCCTCACCCTCACCCCAGGCTGGGACGGACTGTGGGGTGAGGGGCCGGGAGAAACTGGGTGTGGAGGCAGGGGGTTTACACGCGTGTGCAAGCATGTCTGCGTGTGAGCCAAGATCAAAGAGCAGCCCTGAGGTGACCCGGCGCTGCACGGAGGGCAGCTGGCTGACAGGGACGCCAAGCAGAGTGGAGTCAGGAAGGCCGTGCTGGGAGCCTCCCACCACCCAGACCTGCCGTGTTGGGGCAGCTGGAGCGACGGCAATACCTGTTGCCTGGGTCAGGCTCCACTGGGTCCGAACCCCAGAGTCCCAGCAGTGGGTCCCCGGGGGCGTCTCCCTCAGATAGCCGCCACCGCCAGGAAGCTCAGAGTTCCCTCTCCACCAAATAAGCTCCCCGATTCCCAGATCCTCCCTCAAGAACTGTCTGCTTCCAGCCTCTCGTTCAAGGAGCTCCGTGGTTATTTTCTTCTTTTTTATTAACGTTACATATAAAGATGGGTCCAGTAAGAAAGCAGAAATGAGAAGGTCGGCAGGGGTGGGGGTTGGTGCGCTCCTGTCCCTTGGGTGGGACTCTTGAAATCCAGCAGTCTGTCCTCACTCCTGCACCCCCCGCCAAACCCAACCCCAAATCCAGCTGGAAGCCCACTCCCTGTTACTCTCAGCTCCCTACTGGGGACCACAGGCAGGTCGGTCCAGAAGGACTGGGCCACATAAATAGGAAACCACAGGAGGGAGGAGGGAGGAGGCCCTTCTTTCTCTTGCTCTTAAAAAAAAATACATACTTATATATAGCTACAATCTTCTATCTCTCCTTTTCTTCCATGTTTGAACACAGCAAGGGGTGGGGGAAGTGAGTTCCAGGGGATGTCTAGGCCAGCAAAGAGCGTACCAGTGGCCCTCCAGCAGACACCCCCACCCCTAAAGGCACAGAGCTATGACCTCCCCTCCTCCCCTGCACCTCACCCGTTTCCTCCATCCCCAACTCCTCTTCGCAGCTGAAGCCAGCTTTTTCTAAGGCCGCCGGGAAAGGGGATATTTTGGGGTTTGTCTTGCCTGGTATGTCTCCTTGGAGATTTGGGGTTTGGCACCCAAAACTGCCAACTTACTGGAGGAGAGGAAGAGGTTGGGTGGGGGTGGGGCAGAGCAGAGGTGCCCTGGCAGGGAGATTGGTCCTATCTGTTAACAATGCCCTTTGTTTTCCTAGTTTTCAACAGCTTTTAAAACCAAAGTTGTGCAAAGTCCTGTCCATGGAGAAGGGGTCCTTAAGAAAGACATCTGAGACCCCCGTGCCCTCTCCCAGCAGAGCAGGAGAGAGACTAGACGAGAGGTGAGAGTGCTTCCCTCTGAAGCCACAAACATTAAAAGATGCCCTCACTTGTGGGAGTTTTCTTTGGTTTAACCCTCAAAGCTTAACGAGGGCTAGAAGTTCGGGCAGGGGCTGCTTTAGGTCCCCACCCTGAGTCCCGTCGCTGATGTCCAATGTCTCTCTGGCAGAGGGAATACTCAGGAAGGGGAAGTGAGTCCCCATCCACGGTGCCTGGTGCCCAGTCCAGGTGTGGCCTGCAAGTGCTGCCCAGTCTCCCAGCCCCGCAGTCTCCAGTCTGGGGGACGAGTACTAACTTTTAGAAGCTGGAAGGTGATGAGCCATTCAAAGCCAATCCAGGCTCCCAGAGCAGAAAGGGACAGCTGTCCCAGCCGGAGTGAAGTGCCCAGCATCTGGAGGGGTACCCCAGAGTCTAGGCAGGGAGAGGAAGGTTCAGGGGACATCCTTGGTCCATGCAAATTTCATCTGGCAGCTCTCGGGGGTCCCCGGAGGAGGGGACAAGGGAAGGGGAAAGGGAGTGCCCTTCCACATGCTCCTTGATGATTCCTGAGTGTTGGCTAGGACGGAGACGCCTTCTGCCTGGTCCGGTGGTCCTTTGTGGGAAGTTCAGGCCAGGTGGGTGCTCAGTACACAGCCCCAGGGTTGGGCGGGGGCCCGGGGGAGGCATGGTGAAGGGTGGCCGGCTGAGGCGGCTGCTGCTGTAAGTGGGGTCCGCTCAGGTTCTGTGCGTGGTACCAGGAGTTGGTGGGGTCGTCCAGGTAGCTGGGAGAAGCACTGTAGGGGAGCGGCGGGGGCAGCTGGCTGCGGGCAGGGGCCGGAGTGGAGTGGGAGGAGGTGTCCCAGAGGGCGGGTGACGGCGGTGAGTTGCAGGCCATGGAGTCGCTGTTGTTCGGGCTGTGCTCCAGCGGCACCTCCCCGTTCTTGTAGAGCTTCTTGAATTTGGAGCGGCGGTTCTGGAACCAGATTTTCACCTGCACGAAGAAGAGCAGGGTGTTCGTTAGGTTTTCGGAATGCTAATGAGCATCCTCCCCACCGAGGGCAAGCCAACCCGAGAGGGGCAAGGCCAGCAGCAGCAGCCCCCAACAAGAGCCACACAAAGTCCCTGCTTCCCACTCCCAGGACAGCATCATTTTTCTATCTGGGATGACAATGTGGGCAGAGCTTTCCCACAGCCTGGATCCCAGTTCCACTCTGCCAATTCCCAAGCGCGTGACCCTGGGCAAGTTACCTGGCCTCTCTGCCTTCCTCACTGGCAGGATGGGGATAATGGCAAAACCTTCCTCTACCTCCCAGGCTCATTATGAGCCCGGGGTGAGCAAAGCCAGTCCAAGAACCTAGGGCAGCCTGGTACATAGGAAGCACCCAATAAAAGGCGGCCTGGTGGGAGCTGGCAGTGGGAGGCATTCTGTGCATGTCAGAACCCCAAAAGCAGAGGCGCACAGATACACAGAGACAAACACACACCCACATACGCATCTCCGCGAGCAGGATCGAACCCACTCACAACTTCACACACTGACACCAGACTATAAAGAGACACGCACAGAGATACACCCAGAGAAGCTCCCCACGAACAAGAGCACGCACTCAGTTGTGGAGAAGCACTCTGGGGCTCATGGGGGTGGACCTGGGGACTCAGGAGCAGGTGAGCCATGATTCCCCAAATTTCCCTTGGGGTATCTCCCCCTCCCCCTGCCGCTCCCCACCCCATGACTGGTACAAACAATGAATCAGCTCCTCACCAGGTGACCCAGATTCCCGGCGGACCGGGCCCCACGCAGCCGCAGCCCAGGCCCGCCTGTCAACACCTGCAGGGAGCCAGGCGTCTGCCGCCACTCCTCCCGGCAGTGACAGGTCGCCGGGGGCTTTAGGGACCTGCGGTGACGGGGGGTGGGGCTCCCATCTCAGAGCCCTATCCTCACCTGCTCTGGACTGGCGGCTGAGGAAGGGGTGGAGCATTTGAGTGCTGAGCGAGGATGTGTTTCGATGGAAGCACAGGTTTCTGCCCATACATTCACCAGTGAGGTGTGCAGCACCAATAGGCCCTTCCCTTGAAGGGTCGTGCTCCCCTTGCAAGAATTCCTGGTGCACACAGGCCACTAGCATATGCAAATAGATAGGTGCAAGTCTGGCCTGGGGCAGACCCGAGCTGCACTCCCGCCAGCCACCAGCACTGCTGAGGGCCTCGAGAGCCCGGATTCTGGGATAGAGGAAGGAAGGCACCTCTCCTTGTGACGGACTTATACAGCTATACAGCCACAAATTGCATGCCTGCCCCTAAGCCTCATGCAGAAACTTCCCACAGAAGCTGAGGTTTGAGGGGGGCCTCTCCCTACAGACAAGGGTTCCCAGGGCCGGCGAGGACTTTAAAAGCCAGTCAAGCGCTCCGGCGCCCAGGGAGCCCCGGTGTCCCGCGCTCCCCCACCCAGCCCCCTGCGCCCCGGCCGCCCAACACCGACCTGAGTCTGCGTGAGGCCCAGCTGCGCCGCCAGCTCGGCGCGCTCTGGCAGCGCCAGGTACTGGGCCTTCTGGAAGCGGCGCTGCAGGGCGGCCAGCTGGTAACTGGAGTAGATCGTGCGGGGCTTTCGGACCTTCTTGGGCTTCCCGTTCACCATGCGCACCTCGGCTTCCGGCTCCTCCTTCACGGACACTGTGGGCAACGCACCGGGAGGGGGGCTCAACCTCCGCCTGCGCCCCCGGCAGCCTCCCCAGCCCCCCCTCCCCAGGGCTCCGCCTCGCGCTCGGCTAGCGAGACTCGCCCCGGGGTTTCCAGGCTGCGCAATCTGCCGCCGGCGCTCCGGGAAGGAGACGCCGCGACAGAACCGGCCCCGGCGGCCGCCCACGACGCGGCGCTCCCAGCGCCAGCTCCAGCTCCGCGTCCTGCCCGGGAGCGCGGGCCGCGGCGCCAGCACCGGTCGGGCGAGGACAGCCGCGGCGCCGCTCTGGGTCTCCCCCGCTCGCCTCCCCGCCTCGCAGCTCCTAGCCCCGCGCCTCACCCCCACCACGCGGCGGATCTCTCTATCTCTCTATCTCCTTTAAAAAAAAAAAAACTTTTAATGTTAGCATAACTCTAGAGTCTCAGAAAATTGCAAGCATATTACACATTCCCTTCTTCCTTTCCTTCCTTCTTCTCCCTCTCCTTCTGCTGTCCTTCCTCTCACTTAGTCTCTCCACATTACTCTCTGCTCAGTCTCCACCTTTCTCTTTTTCAGCCTGTCCACTTCTCGGTGGCCACTCTCTTCCTTTTTCCTGGAATCCTGGAGAGTGTTCCTCCGCATCCTCCCTCCCCAGGCAGCTCCAGAGCACCCCTGGAACTCCACTCCCCGTCGCCTACCCGCAAGCCCCCTGCGCCACCAAGGAGGACCACCTGCTGGAGCGCCCCCCACCCCCAGCACCGCGAGCAGGCGGTGACCCACCCACAGCCCTGTCCTTCCTCCCCTAACCCAACCCCATCCTTGCCCTGGACACCGCTCGCCCGGGCCCTAAAGCTGGCAGCCTGCGACTGGAAGGCCGGCCACCCCACCTTCTCCGCGCCAGAAGGTGTATTCTACTGGCGACGCTTCCCTGGATTCCGGTTTCAAGCCCCCGCCTCTCTCCCCTCTGGAGGCTTCCAGCGTCTGCCCTCCGCCACCCGGAGGTGCTCACCTGGGTCCTGGGCAGGCAGCGGCTGCTCTCGGTAGGCTCCGTATTGCCGGTAGGAGGCTCCGTAGGTATATTCCGACTTGGGCGAGTAAGCGCCCGTGCCTGCAAGCCCGTTGAGATTAAACTGGTGGTGGTAGGTGTAGGGGTTCACCGTCTGGCCGTAGGGCTGGCCCGAGTAGTAGTCGTGCTGGGGAGCGCTGTAGTAGCCCAGGTCAGTGACGGACGACTCGGGCAGGGTGGGCGAGTCCTTGGAGCCCGCATGGCAGCTCAGCGAGCTGGAGATGTCGGTGAGGATGCTGCTGAGCTTGCGGTCGAAGGAGCCACTCATGCTGGCGGGCGCTGAGCCTCCGCGGGGCTCGCCTCTGCCCGGACGGCGGAGCGGCCGGGGCGCGGGGGAGGCGGCGGCGACGGGGCGGGGGTGTGTGTCCGGAGGGCGAGGGGAGGGCCCGGCCGCGCTCGAGGGAGGGGAGACAGGGGCTCTCAGACCATCGCCGGCCTCCAGGCGGTCGCTGCGCGCCTCTCGTCGCGTCCCAAGCCACAGTCAAATGCTGCCAGCTCCGCCCGGCCAGCCGGTTATAGACTCAATAGTGGAGTCGCGGAGGGAGGCTCCAGCGCGCTGATTGGCTGCAAGTCTTGCCTTCGAGGCAAAACAGGCTCCAGCGCTCTTTCGTGTCTCTCTGTCGTCTCTCGCGCTCTCTCTCTCTGTCGTCTCTCTCTCCTCTTCTCTCCTTTCTCCAGCCTTTGTTGTTACCCAACACACACACACACACACACACACACACACACACACCACTCTTCCCTCCTGTCCTACCTCCTCCACCCCAGATACACCCCAGTGTCTCTGAAGGAAGAGGGTGGGGGAGGGTGGCTTTGCAGAGCCCACTGGGTGTTTGTGGAGGGTGGGGGTCTGCGTGGTTGAGTGCGTGGCAGAGGGCAGGCAAACACGCCCACAGACAGGAAGACCCAAGGCCTATCAGAATGTTTCTAATTTCTTATAAAGTCAGAAGGATAAAGAAATTCTAGGTTGCAGATAATGTGGACTGCATGATGTTAAAATATTGACTTTATGTAATTAAAAATGTGATTAAGCATTTTTTTTTCATGGAGGAGAGGTCCGTTGGGTGGCAGAGACTTGGGCTATGAGGGTCCTATTGCACCCCCCCCAGGGGGTGTGCAGATGAGAGTGGATGTGGGGCTTACCAGAGGGTGGGGTGCACAGCATGTTTATGGTGATGTTAGTGCTCTCTCCACAGATCTGTGTGTGCAGTTTTGGAGGTACCCAGACTTGCTGGAGTCAGCAGGGAGTCTGGGGTGCTCTTGGGGCTGGCCCTGTGTGCTTTAATAAAGTTTGGGAACAGAGTCTGTGAATGTGGAGCAGCACTGTGGGCGAGGAGTGTGGGCACTTTTGGAAATCGGGTTATGGGGTGGGTGTGCAGAGTGAAGGCTTCAGGTAGTGCACAGCATCTGTGATGTATGTGGGTTCAGGGGTGCATGTGTGCAATGTGTGTGTGGTAGAAAGTGTGAGTGGAAGCCTGGGACTGTGTATCTGAGCTCGAGAGCGACATGTATGCTGATGTGTATAGCCTCTCCACAGCCCCCCAGCCCCTGGGAACCATGATGTTCCATTGAACCTTGAACCGGACCCCCATAAGAACACTTGAAGAAGAGGTCCCCTTTGGGACCCCCAACTCCTGGTCCCGTTTGGCTCTAGGTGGTCCACATTTTCCTCAACTGCCTAGTCCATTTCTTCACTCCACTGCTGACTCTAATCTCTGCCTTCCTTGGGGAGGGGAAGAGGGTAGAAGAAGATCCCTCATATTTCAGCCCCTAGCCCAATACAGCCTTCACACAGGGCTGTGAGACCGATTCTTGGTCCTCCGCGACCTGGCCTCGCCAGTGCCAACCAGGACCCGCAGTGCCAGCGCTCCACCTTGTGGTCACTCCCGGGCTCTGCAGTCTCCCCGCGCCCACCCAACCCCCGGGTGCCGTCTCTGCCGGAGACTCCCAGCCAGAGAAGTATGCAAGGGGAGGTGGGGGATCCTTGGGGTCCCTTTCCAAAGTGAGCACTCAGGCGCAGGCTTCCAGGGGCTTAAGGAATTGTGAAGCTGCATTTGACAGAGACTGGGGACCCCAGTCGGCAGGGCCGAGGAGCAGGAACGCCAGCCAGGTCTGAGCGGCTTCGGGGAGGCCAGGGCGTGGGAAAGGTGGGGGCGGGGGCCGGGCGAGGGGAACGCTATCTGTCTGTCTATCTCGCGTCCCCCCAGCGCCTATCGCCCGCCGCTCTGAGCCCGTGGCGGGGCGAGTTGCCACCCGCTCTGGATGCCCTCTGTTCTGTTGCCAAGAGGGCGCTGAGAGCCTGAGGCGTTGGGGCAGGAAGGGCACTGGGCGGGCTGGCTCCCCTTCCAGGATGGGAGTGGGGGAGGCGGTCATGGCCTGCCCTGGAGCCCCCAGTCCCCCACAGGGAGACTCCGGGTCGCACAAGGTCCTTCTCAGAGATTCATTCATGAGTCCAGATTCCTCAGGAGTTTCTCAGGGAAAAACTCTCTCCTCACAAGCACCCCAACCTTGTGACTCTTAAGTAAAGTGGGTGAGCACTGGACTGGGATTTGGAATGCTGGGATCATGAAAAGGTGCCAGTGAGGGATAGTATTAGGATAATTTCTACGTTTCATTCTCCTCTGAAAAGCTCAACGTTCTAGAAATAGACCGAAAATGCAGCATCAGGGGTTTAAGTGAGCAATTCAGTCATTGTTTGGTGCTGTGAGGTTAGCTCCGGGTCCCCCAATGCACTGCCAACTCCAGAGCACTGGGGACTGTGTCTGACCTGTTTGCTGCTATCTACCAGATATCCAGGACAAGTCCTGGCATATACTACCTTTGAGCTCGATAGATGTTTGTTGAATGAATAACGGAGACCCCTTCATACAGGAGAGGGGGGAAGAATCATGTTGGCTGAGTACACTTGCAGGTTGGGAAAAGGGGAAATGGGGACCGGGCAAAGCTTCCACTGCCCGGCTTCAGCCTAGGGGCAGGAGCAGCTTCCCAGTTGGATGAGTGGCCCCAAGGGCCTTGTCGGGCCAGCAAGACTGGAGCTACCGGCCACTCAGCGGGCACCTGCCAAATCAGGGGGGTGAGGTCGCCGGAGGATGCAGTGGGACCAGTGCCACCCACTTCACTTCACTTGGCCTGGGTCAGCAAGATGACCTGGTGTCAGCCTGGCCAGCGTCCTGCCTCTGGTGGTGGGGTAGTGCAGGACAGCCTGGTCTGGGGCCTCTGGGAGGTTGACAGGACACAGAAGGGGCAGGGCTGGCCAGCACCTATGCCAAGCTCCCATGCCCACTCTCTGCCTGGAACTGAGAAAAGCAAGCACTTCCCTGGAGCCCGAGTGTCGCGCCACCTGGCCACAGCAACTGTGTTCACTGAGAGGCAGGTCTGAGGGGAGCATCTTGGCAGGGAGGCCAGAGCCAGCTCCCTGCCTGGGAATCTGGCGCCATCTTGTGTTCCGCACAGGGAAGCCAGTGTCTGGCTCCACTGGGAGACCTGGGAAGTCTTCCCAGGATCTGATCATCACACCCAGAAGGAATGTCTACCTGAATCTATCTTAGGAATCCTAGCAATACCAAGTGCTCACTTTTCATCATCACCTGGCCTTACTCTCTCCTTCCTCCCACACGTTCCTGTCCAGCCAATCACTTCTCTGCACTTTCTCAGTTGTGAATCAGTAAGTAGATTATTAGGTGGGCTCTGAGAGATCTTCAGGCTCTGATGTCCCATGATTCTAACTTCTCGGACTTTTGTCTCCCTAGGGTGAATTCCTGTCTGCCTTCTCACCAACTCCCAGAGGCCATCCTCCATCCCACACACCTTCCCTGAGCCTCTACAATAGTAGGTGCTGGGGACGCAAGACAGACATATGTCCCCCTCCAGGGTGCCCGGGGTCCAGCGTGGGAGGAGGCACATTAACAGCCAGTGTCACTACTGTGTGATGTGTGCTGACAGGGCGTAGCACACGTCACTGACAGCCCAAGGAGTCCCCAGCCCTCCAGACTGCAGGCTGAGCACAAGGGATGTGTGGGGTGTGGTTCCATGAGCAAGGATATGGGGGAAGAGGGCTCCCAGGCAAGGCAAAGCCTGTGCAAAGGCTCATGGGACTGTGGGGGACATAGTGTTGGGGGTGGGCTGGCTAAAGGTCAAGCCCACCTGAGCCCTGGAACGGTGAGTGGGAGAATGTCCTCCCTGTAGAGGCTGTGGGCAGCTACTGAAAGATTTTAGCCAAGGGAGAGATGTGATTGGGTTTCCATTCTAGAAGTCTCCTGACTTCTAGACTGCTAGGTGGGGATGGATCAAACAAGAGGAGAACTGAGTCTGGGTTAAGAGTGTGGGAGATGAGCAGTTGAAAGGGCCAGGGGGTGGGGAGAAGTTTGTGGGTTGGTAAGGAGGTCTGGCCGCAACCCTTGGGTGTGGGTTGGGTATTAGTGACAGGACAGGAGAGTGGGGGAATAACCCGGGTCTGCTGCCTTGGGCAGCTGAACAGGGAGTTGGGGGCCACTCTGAGAGAGAGCACTAGAGAGAAAGGGTCCTTGCCGACGAGGATGTGTTCTGTGTTGTTTGGTTGACTTGTCTTTGGGCCATAACAGATGTGCAGAAAAGTGCACAAATCGTAACCAGTGACACTGCACAAGCCAAACACAACTGCAGTTGACACCCAGGTGGGTAACAGTGTCGCAGTCCTCAGAACCTCCCTCCAGGGTAACACCGTCTCAACATCCTGGCACTACAGGTCAATCTTGTGTACTTCTGGCTTTATAAAAACAGGATAGAATAATATATTCTTTCATGTCTGGATTCTTTTGCTCAACTTTATGCTTGTGAACTTCATCCATGCTGTTGGATGTATTGTAGATCATTCTTTTTCATTACGATTGATAAATATTATACCACCATTTATTTTTACAGTGGATGGGCATTTGGCTAGTGTCCATTTGGGGGCTTTTTTGGATAGCAAAACACATGTACACGTGGCTGTGGAGTACCTAAGAGTGCAATCATGGGCCATGGGGTGTACATCCTGCCAAGTTACTCTCCGAAATGGTTGTGCTGTTAGCTCCGTGTTGATTCTGTTGAGTCTGAGTGTCTGAGATGGCTGGGAGGAGCTGTTCAGAAGGTGGACGGCTAGGGAGGAGCTGTTCAGAAGGTGGACGGCTACAGAGGTCTAAAAGCTCAGGAAGGAAGCTGGGACCCGAAATGGAAATTGGGGCCTGTGATACCTTGTGGTACAAGCCTCAGGGGTGGAGAAGATGGTCCAGGAAGGGGAGGGAGAAGGGAGAAGGCTGAGGGGAGGGGAGGAGGGCAGCCTTGTAAGAGAGTGATGGAGAGGCGAGAGCCCAAGACAGTGGCCCTAAGTTGGAGGGAAGGGGGGGTGTTTCAAGGAAGAGGAAGTGGTTAACAAGGTCAAATCCTGCTGTGGACACCCAGGCTGGGCAGGACAGCAGGGAGATATATCCGCTGAATGGCGACTGGGGGAGGCAGTTAGTGATATCAGGAAGAGGGTTCAGGGGAGGAGAAGCTGGAAGGCTGTTTACAACTGACTGAGGGATGAGTGGGAGGGGAGGAAATGGTGAAAACAAGTGCAGGCAACTCTGTGTGAAGTTTGCCTGTGGAGGAGA